TACCATGACGTTGCGGTGTACTACATTTTTACAGGGTGCGTTACCACCCCTCTCAAAGAAGAAAAAAAGTAGCAATCAACTGGAATGTTAGAATCGTTTTACCAAGTGCATTTCTAATATCTATTGATTAATTACGTCAATTTCTATTTGTCGTATTAGACCGGCAGATAATCCCATACTTGTGGTGTACATTACCGCGGATTATGTACATTATAGATACTTATTACTATCATCTTTATTAACTATCACTTTCTTTTTTTTTCTTTACAGAAATTACCACATTAACGTCTCAGATTGCTGTAATAATAATAATAATAGCAATAATAAATATCTAATTTTGATAGAAAAACCTAAATTAATGAATAATAATAAACAAGTGACGAAACAAATGAAAATAAAATAATTCGAAGTGGTCTGTATTCTGTCGAAACTGCCAGACGCGGATCGCGATTTCGATCTTTTTGGATCTCATCAGCGCGTCGCAGGCAGNGTCACAGGCAATATTCGGAATGCGTCCGCAACTTAATTTTGTTTTTCACACAAAATTTGATACAGATTCTTTAATCCATCATTTGGAGCAGGCAAAATTCGAAGATGAGCCAAAATAAGTAGGTACTTATACCATGACGTTGCGGTGTACTACATTTTTACAGGGTGCGTTACCACCCCTCTCAAAGAAGAAAAAAAGTAGCAATCAACTGGAATGTTAGAATCGTTTTACCAAGTGCATTTCTAATATCTATTGATTAATTACGTCAATTTCTATTTGTCGTATTAGACCGGCAGATAATCCCATACTTGTGGTGTACATTACCGCGGATTATGTACATTATAGATACTTATTACTATCATCTTTATTAACTATCACTTTCTTTTTTTTTCTTTACAGAAATTACCACATTAACGTCTCAGATTGCTGTAATAATAATAATAATAATAGCAATAATAAATAATTACTCATATTTATATTTCTGCAGCAATAGACCGTTAACTCATTTGGATAATTGCCCGGCGATAACGATAGTATTGACCGTTGACAATTGAGATATTTTTCTTCCGCGTTTTTTTTTGTGTTTTTGCTAATCCTAATTTATATCTCATTGCATTTTTTGTTCTCTTGGTTACAAGTACATGTATAAATAAATATATACATTTTGGATAGACTAGAGAAAATGTACTGCTGCCCTATAGTATTTTTAAATATGAAAAAATTATGTGGGATATTTGACAGAAAAGGATATTGTTTAGATTCGAAAGTGTTTAAAATTCTATCTAGGGGTAACAATACGCTGTGATAGGTAATATTTATTATTGGATTATTTTTGTACCTGTAGCAACCAAAAATAATTATCGCTACAACGAAAAATTTTTGACGTATTTTTAAATGATCGTAGGAATTTAANTACAACGCCGTGCTCCAAACATACACCTTTAACAACCTTTTTCGAATTTCTAAATCAACCGTTCGCGAGCATAGAAGTGACTTCTTTTTATTAAAGGCGACAAGACCCTGCGCTATCTTCTGCTTTATATCCTTACTACTTCTTCCATCCTGATTTGTGCGTAACTTGCATATAATATTCCTTATTGACCGTTCTACCTTGTGGCAAGAACTCATGATGCACCACGCCCTTGCAATCGAAGAAAACTGTAAGCAAAACCTTCACATTCGACCCAACCTGCCGCGCTTTTTTCCATCTTGACTCGTGCGGCAGCTTCCATTGAGATGATTAAGCTTTGGTTTTCTTGTCACAACCATAAACCCATGATTCTTCACCAGTTATGACCCTCTGGAGCAAATTTTGGTCGTCGTGGACCGAGTCCAACAGCTCCTTATCAATGTTAATGCCATACTGTTTTTGGTCGAATTTGAGCAATTTTGGTACGAATTTCGCGGCGATCCGTGTCATAGAACAAACAGAATACCCCAACGCCAAATCACGACACTGTCGACTGAGTTTACTTCAGTCCCTGAAGAAGGTAACTTTGTTACCGAAAAGTGCTTCGGACAACTACAGTGTCGCGTTTTGGCGTTGGGGTTTTGAGCTATTTTGTTTGTTCTACAACAACCGCCAAAGTTTTTCCAATCTTCATATATGATCCGTGTCATGCCCAAATCATTGGTAAAAATCGAAAGACAGGAGCCAATCGATATGTTTAGGTCCTCAACAACTTCTCTAACAATTGCCAATATTATTTTGTTCACTTCATCGATGTTTTCGTCTGTTGTTGACGTGCTCAGGCGTCCGGCACCCTCTTCGTCGTTCTCATCTTCTCAGCCCTCTGAGGACATTTTCTACCACCGATAAACGTTGCTTTGGTCCAAGGTAACTTCACCATATGTCACAGGCAATATTCGGAATGCGTCCGCAACTTAATTTTGTTTTTCACACAAAATTTGATACAGATTCTTTAATCCATCATTTGGAGCAGGCAAAATTCGAAGATGAGCCAAAATAAGTAGGTACTTATACCATGACGTTGCGGTGTACTACATTTTTACAGGGTGCGTTACCACCCCTCTCAAAGAAGAAAAAAAGTAGCAATCAACTGGAATGTTAGAATCGTTTTACCAAGTGCATTTCTAATATCTATTGATTAATTACGTCAATTTCTATTTGTCGTATTAGACCGGCAGATAATCCCATACTTGTGGTGTACATTACCGCGGATTATGTACATTATAGATACTTATTACTATCATCTTTATTAACTATCACTTTCTTTTTTTTTCTTTACAGAAATTACCACATTAACGTCTCAGATTGCTGTAATAATAATAATAATAGCAATAATAAATATCTAATTTTGATAGAAAAACCTAAATTAATGAATAATAATAAACAAGTGACGAAACAAATGAAAATAAAATAATTCGAAGTGGTCTGTATTCTGTCGAAACTGCCAGACGCGGATCGCGATTTCGATCTTTTTGGATCTCATCAGCGCGTCGCAGGCNTAAAATCAGCCACTTCTTCTAATTTTTCATCTCCTATCTTTATATTCGCTCTTTCCCTACTTTTTCTTCCCTTGCGAACCAATATTTTAGTTTTACTTTTATTTATTTTCATACAGTACTGATCTGTCAGTACCGCTTCCATTTTATTTAAAGCTATCCCTAGGTAATCCTTGCTAGATGCTAATACTGCTACATCATCTGCAAATCTAAGGATACTAATCTTTTGCCCTTGCACATCTATCCCTACAGTTAGCATTCAGTTACTTACCCAGGGCGGCACTAAGGGAAAGTCCGGCCCTGGGTATGTACCCGTTGTGAATAGACATCCTGTATATAAAATAACAATCGGCAAAAAGCTTTTCTTCATATTAACCTTTCGTATTACAAACAAAAGCATAAATATTTCGACAAAACGGTGACCCCAACAGGTCATTTCGACGATAATCTTAACTTTCAAATTCAAATGGCACTAAGTGCCCACAAACGGGCCTAATAATACTAATAGTAATAATAATAATGAATACTAATCGAAATACTCCAAAAGAAAATATTTACATACTTATTATAACAGATACAATAAAAAATGATGTTCTAAAAACGATGTTAGGGTCAACGTTCTTTCAATAAACTAATCGACCTCATTAAGCCCTTCCGGACCTCTTTTATAAGAAAATTTAAAAAATATGACGAAATGTAAAAAAAGAAAAAGAAAACTAAACGATCGCGAAACGTAGGTCAGTTTCTGCAAAAGTTCCAGACATTCGCGAACGGGAATCCGCTTCACCAAATCGAAACTGGTCCTGCACAACATTCGTGAATTTTAATTTGTTAACACGGTCTTGTGTAGAGACTGTCACACCAGTGGTGGTTTCTGGTTTCAAAAGTTGGCGAAGAATTGCAAACAACTGAAAAGAACTAAACCTACAGTTAACTATAGTCGAGACGATCAAAGTTGGCAAAGTCTTATTTCCACTTGGGACGATAGTCATTTGTTGCGTTTTGAACACGCCCCTGACAAGTTAGGAAATGCTTCATGAGTAGTACAAACAAAGTGAAAAGAGATGACCCAATAATAGTAAACGGTGCAGTGGTTAAAAGTTGCTTAGGTACGCAAACGATCAGGGTCGGCTTCATAAATGCCTAGTTGGAATTATATATTTAAACAAGCGTCATGTTTTCTTTAATTCCTGAGAATGTTGAACTTTCTTTAAAGTCCGATGCTGGCAACATGTTAAATTCTGCATGTCTGCATCTCTTTCTGTTACACACCAATCGGTGTAATGTTATTCCTTTTTCTTTATTAGTGCCCGCTGCAATTCCTACATGACATCTCTTTTCTATGTTTACGATATTCTCTCTCTACAACGTATGTCGTGTGTAAAAGTAGGCGTACTGTCAACAACCGCTCTAGTCTAGTTAGTAAATTGAAAGAATAAAGTAAATGCGATAGTGTTATTGCTAACTATACCAATTTTGAACGTCTAAACTATAGGTATCTACAGCAAGCTATCAGGATGTCGAACAACAGTATGAACAGAAAACAAAAATTGTACATATTTCAAATATTATTGTGAAAATTCATCGTCAATTTATTTTATGAGGGAAAAAATTCAATAAGAAAATAATCCCCTGTATAATTGCATATTAAAATAATATCAAAAATTGATTACTAGACACAAGTGGAAGACTTATTGAGCACAAATTCTCGTTTTGCTAGACGCATAAAAAAATATACCTGTAAATGTGTCCGATTGTCCTTGCAATTCCGTCATTTGTTGTAAAAATGCGTCAATCAATCCTCTCGAATGCGTTACAGAAAACGTTTTCTTCTGTTCGTGACCCCTTTTTAATGATCAACAAATTGACCTCGGATACTGGTCCAAAATATGAATCCAAAAAAGAAAAAAAAAAAAAACGTAAAGTAAAAGCATGTTTTTGTTCAAAAGAAAAAACATCATTATTTTTTGACCGGGGGGTAATTGAAAGAAATTACTGTTAATATGTTGTATAGGATATATTTCGTTTATAAAAACGTCTTGGGTGCATTGTTGTTGTACATTATAAAAAAGTTAGCAAACTTATCTAGGAACAAGACGAACTTTGAAAGGTTTTGGCGATAAAGTTAAACCATCGTGGATTTCAAAATGACCAGTGCAGTCCGGCGACTCATTTTTGATATGAAAATTATTTAAAATCGAGGTAAAGAATAAGAACAAGCTAGTTTTAGCCAGGGATTCCCCTAGGCACCTTCTTTTACCTAAAACAAAATAATAATTGTCAAAAAGCACATAAACAGGCAATCAAGAATGGATTTACAATAAATTATTAAGGTAAAAATAGTTTTTCGATTTTGTAAACCAATCAGAATCAGGCTTACTCTATCAGCTCTGATTTCTGAATATTACAATTATATTATTAAAGGGAAAGAAGGGAGAGAGTTCTTATTTCCCCTCTTCCCCTACTAGGACAACAACAAAGATAATTTCACTAAAAAATTATTGTCGAATTATTGGATTTTCCAAAGATTTCTTCAATAATTTAGCATTGTATTTAAATGGATATAAGTAGGTATGTACTGTTTATAACGAAAATATGTAACATTCCTAAGAAATTTGTTTGTTGGACTTCCTGCATACTTAAAACCCAACTGAATTTAACAATGCTATCGTTGCAAATGTATTTCATGATTGCGGACAAGGAAGTTTTCAAATGTTTCTTACATTTATTGATATGTTAATTTAGTGTTAAAAATGTCAACAATTAACAATCGCCCATACACACATATAATTATAGTAACGCATATTTTAACAAAAGTGCAGAAAATTAGCATTGTAGTTGAAAAAAAGAACATGTTCTTCCATACATTCTAACATTCAAGAAATAGAAAAATATCAAAGATAACATATTTACCTGGAGGGTACAAATAGGGCTTTTTAATATCCTTGAAGCATAAATACACTAGAAAAGTAACCAAAGTTATAAACAAAAATAGAATCNAACTTTATTAGTTATATTTATTATAAATATTCAACAATTGTTTTAAAATGGGAAATTGACCAGGGAAAATTTACGATAAATAATTAACATTTTTTAAATGGGAAAATCTAATAAAATCAAAACTATGTGACAATAATTGTTATAAACAATTCAAGAAATAGAAAAATATCAAAGATAACATATTTACCTGGAGGGTACAAATAGGGCTTTTTAATATCCTTGAAGCATAAATACACTAGAAAAGTAACCAAAGTTATAAACAAAAATAGAATCATGTTCCTTATTAGTCGCTCTTCGTTGTTTAATAAATTAACGTATGCGTTAATAATATTAGTATAATGTTTGCGGTGCGTTGTGCTTGTTGCGACCTTTGGTTTAACACTAATCCGTTTGTGACAAGGAAGAGTACTTACATAGACATGATTCGGGTAGGGTCGACCACGTACAGTTTTAATTACGACTTTGCGTAACAATTGCGTTTTATCAATTGATAAAGAATATTGCACCAGAAAAAGAAAGATATTTGTCTTTTTCTTTTTTTTTTCGAGGTCTCAATCCAAGTTTTTCATTTTTCAAACTGTATTAATCAAAATTTTGTACAAAGCAGAGGTCTTCTAGTCTTGGTATTGTTTTAACATCTGCACAAATAACAATTGTCTTTTCGGCCGAAACAATTGACGAAACTTTCAAAAAAGTTTGTGAAATCAAAAACAAATATTTCATTTATTATTGTTTTTCACTAATTTACCAATTAGTCAAACTTTAGAACGCTTTAAAAACGTTTTTTTTTTGTGTTTTAAGTCACATATATTTATTAATAAAATAGGATGAAATTTTATAAAATTAATAACAAACTGATCGCTTTTACGTTTTTTTGCTATTTTGGTGAAGGCGCTTGGCACAATTAACTGCTTATTTCACGCACTAGTTTTCCTAAGTGACTATTGATCGATGTCACTGTAAATCCCCGATATATTTGGTACTTCCCTATTTTCATTTCTTGCAATAAATTTTGTTTCTCCAGTTAATAATACGATATCAACAACATGATTTCAATTTTATGTAATCTCATTCAAATGTGCAATATTTCATAATTTCTGTTCATATCTCAAAACTAGTACCAAAAAATAAGTATATATGTTTATTAATTTAATACAATACATATAAAACTATTTCGAAATTACATATAGGCTCATTCGATGCTCTTTATTGCCGGAAGTTATTATACAATAAAAATTCAAGATCATTTCTGAGCAAGTCAGATTTAACGTCACATTATTAATATTATTTGAAACGATACACACTGGTAGGAACCGGGCAAAATCATCACACGAACAACAGAACGATTTAATTGAATTTTTGTTTTGAAGTGTTCCGTTTGTTTTTTTATTCTCATTTGTCATAAGAGAACAAAAGAAGAAGGAATCATATAAAACAGTAGAACGAAAATTTGTTTTATTGATCGAGGATAATGCAAAAAGGGAGGTTAAATATGAGTAAACAAATAATAGTTGGATGAAATCAAGGGTTATTATAAATCAAAATACATAATAATTGTCTGATTTCTTATAACGAAAAATACGTATGTCCAATTACTTGTTTTAAATTAAACAATTACATTAATTTATTATATGAAACCGAATGTTATCTTTGGCATGTAAAAGATTATTTTGAAATTTGCAATGACCCCTTTTTAATGATCAACTAATTGACCTCGGATACTGGTCCAAAATATGAATCCAAAAAAGAAAAAAAAAAAAAACGTAAAGTAAAAGCATGTTTTTGTTCAAAAGAAAAAACATCATTATTTTTTGACCGGGGGGTAATTGAAAGAAATTACTGTTAATATGTTGTATAGGATATATTTCGTTTATAAAAACGTCTTGGGTGCATTGTTGTTGTACATTATAAAAAAGTTAGCAAACTTATCTAGGAACAAGACGAACTTTGAAAGGTTTTGGCGATAAAGTTAAACCATC